GACAGCTATATTCTGTTTTTTAAATTTTAGGTCCTTGGGTTTTTGTTTCTGTAGTATGTCTAAGAAATGAAGCTCAAGAACTGTCTGGATAAAATTAAGCACCTGAAAGCCATCATACTTTTCTGTAATAGGCTCTTCCCTTGTCTGTAATAAGCATTAATTGAATGGGTAGTTTCGGTTGGAATTTAATAAGTCTTTGTCCTTAATTTAGATTATATCTGACAAACCAATCTTTCCCTGGATTAGTCTTGAAATTATTCCTAATGTAGTTAAATTATATTTAGTGATATAAGTTTCATCTTCCTGATAGGAGAGGAAGGAACTCATCAACAGGTCTGAAATATCTAGGCTTTTGAAAATCACAGCTCAGAATTGAGAGCTCTGATTTATTGCTCTTGAAAAGGTCTTCAGTTTCTTCAAAAATCCCAACAAGCCTTCAAAATATTTAGCTCCCCTGACCTGGGTGGGTAACAAAGATTGGAGAATAAAGACCCCAGTTCTTCAACCGGGAAGATCAATATGAAGACAGAGAGGGCTGTGGGGGTGTGGTTGAAATGACTGCTTCATGGTAATAGATGCAGGATTTATGTTTCTTCTAAATACATTACCCTCTGTACATTCCAGGCAGTGATCTATCCACCTTGTGTCCTTCTCAAGGGTGGCTAATATCAGCAATGAAGTAAATATCTGTAGGGTTTATTGAGCACTGGGAGATTTTCAATTAAAAATGGTACAAGTTGGGCAGTGGATAGAGCACCAACCCTACTAGCTTTGTGACCCTGGTCAAGTCACTTAAACCCAATTGCCTCAAAAAAATGTGGTACAATTAAAGTTGAACAGGAGTTCTTACACAGTTCTAGAGTAGGAAGCATCCTCAGATGCCACTTAATCCAACACCTGAGACCTTGGGAAAGCAGGTGTTTTGCCCAAAGTCACACAGGTATTTAGTTTCAGAACTTAGATTAAGATCCAGGTCTTGGGGCTACAACTCTAGTTCCCCAGTACCTCACTAATACTGATAATATTTTTTGTATATATTGTATCTTAAGGTTTAAAAGATTCTTTACATGCATTATTTTATCTGATCCTTATAACAACCCTGTAAAGCAGATACCGCAAATGTTTTGGTTTTGTTCTGGACCTGTATTTCATTTTATAAGGAACTCCCAAAGAGAAATCTCCTTCTCCCAAGGTAGATTTGCCTTCTTTGCAAACTCAATAGTCTTAGTGAGTTGCCTGGGGATCCATGAGGTTAAGTGACTTACCCAGAATTATATAAACGAGAGGTGGTATTTGAACCCCAGGCTTCCCAACTTTTAAGACTTCTCTCCATACCCCATGCCATGTTACCTCTCAAGTATATTTTCTCTTATTTTATAGATAAGGAAATAGTCTTAGACAGGTAAACCTGACTCAAATCATATACTAAGGGGCAGAGTGGGAGTTAGAAGATAGGTCTAATTCCAAATTCACTGCTGTGTCCATGGCACCGTGCTGCCTCAAGTTAATGAACTGCTCTTCAACTTGGGGGAAATGTGTTTAAATTTATGTATATGTTCTACACAGAGAGAAGGAAAACCTTGAGCTTTGAATTAATGTCAGGGGCATTATGATGAACCTCAAATGCCACAAGTTGATGAAAGGATGTTAAAAAATATGGGGTAGGTAATTATTACATTTTCACATTGTCCTCTTTAATAATTTCAGAATTTATTAGACCTTATAATTAGGGGTTTGCAGACAAAGAAAAAGGATCTGGAACCTGAATTCAGAATGTTGCTACCTGTTACCAGATCTGACAGATGAAGGTTCAGTGGAGGACAAGGTGAGTATTAGTGGCTAAAATGAGGTCTTTCCATTATCTGGAAGCAACCTCTCTCCTCTGAACCCCCACAACATTTTGTCTTACCTTTCTTATTGAATTTTCACATTCTACCTGGTGTCAGAGTCATTCATATATATATATATATATATCTCCATCTCCCTCATTAGACTAAATACTCTGTGTCAGGAGAAATGTCTTAGTCTTCTTTGTGTTTTCCTATGGTGCCTAGATCAATTTCTGGGTGCATAGTGGATGCTCAGTTAATATTTTTGGGAATGAATAAATAAATAAATAAATAAATATACCTGTGGATTTCATTTGTTCATGTAATCAGTGAGGAGCTGTAGCTGATTTAGCTGTTCATTTCATTTAATATGGTGGAAACCTGTGTGTGTGTGTGTGTGTGCGCATATTTATTTAGTGCTGAGAAAGGACGGAGATACACAGGATCTGAGATTGTAACCTGGAGAGTTTGGGAAGTATTAAATGAATGCCTTCAGCTAACATGTTAGGAAGACGTGAAGCGAGGACTATAACCTTTTGTAAAGAAATAATGAAATTCTGAAACTATTTGGATACCTTCTATGTTTATTCAATGTAGGTGGGGAATTTTAATTCACTGTTTTTCCAGAATGGAGTTTGAGGAGTTATTTTCTTTGCAAATTTTTCAATAAAATGGTGAAATGTCCACATTCTAAGGAAGTACTATAATCATAGTTTCCACTGAGAAATTTAAATCACACCCTGGATCCAAAACCACCATAATTTGTAAACTCTACAATTCTCAGAACGGCTCTATCATCCCTAATTATTAAAGGGCTTCTGTCTTCGCCTAATGCTTGACAAATAGAAGTTAATGATGTTTTGCTGGAATCTGAAAGTCAGACTACACCAAATTTGTTGAGCATATTTGTTGATCCTGAGTAAAAATTCTTTTAATCCAAAAGGAAGAAAGGAAGAGAGATAGCCAGATCATGGTTAGCTACAAAATAAAATTCTGATTTTAGTTAGTATGTGGTACCAAGTACATGGCTTATGCAGAGAGTAAATTCAAATATTTCCAAAATTAAAGAACATTTTCAACTCTTATATAGAATATTTCTGTGATTTAAATCAAACAGATTTCCCCCCTCAAGATGGAAAGTTTTTATTTTATCAAATGAGTGGAGAGTTCAAAATGAGGACCAGTTACGACATTCAGTAAAGAGGCAAACCCTCATATTTACTTCTTTAAAAATTATACTTTATGATTATATAAGGATCAAATGAAGAAAAAGAACTATTGATTTCTGAAGAATATTAAAAGATAAAATTCTGTATCATAACCCTTAGAACAAAAAAAATCACAGCCTGTTGAATTTTGAATTTTAATAAAAGGGTTTCTTTCATCTGAAATTTTGGTGTTTTGCATTTGTATTCCCATCATTTAGCACAGTGCCTGGCATAAAGTAAGTGCTTAAATTTTTTTTTGTTGATTGATTATTTCATTCCTGGATTAACAGCTGGAAATAAATAAAGGTGATCTATCTCAGTATACTAGAGACAGGATGACCTAACATTCAGTAAGGATGGATAGGTTTTTTCTATGGAACTAGGCAAGGGCTATTTAAGCTGGAGTTACATGTGTTTCACTTAATAGACAGCTCTCTATTTTATTCCAGGAGATGCCAAGAAAATAAATTCCCAGATTCCACCCAGAAAAAAAGAGTAGTTCTTATGAGAAGTCTTTTCTTTCTATTCCTATGGGAAAATGACACCCTCTTTCCTAATCCTATTACATAGAAAAAAATTGCTGGTGTTTTTAGCAGCTCATGTAATGAAAAGAACATTGGACTGGGAGTGGGGACATCATAAGATCACAGATTTAGAGTTATGAGACGTTAAAAATTATCTGGCTCAACTTCTTCCTTTGAGGAAAGAAGATGTCCTGAAGATTTTGGTTAAAATCCCAGCTCTGCCACTTTCAAAAACCATGTGAATTTGGGAAAGTCATTTAACTTCTCTCCTTCATCTGTAAAATGAAGGGGTTGGATTGAATGAAGTCCCTTTGAGCTCTGAGACTCTATCATCCTATTATGTCCTTTCAGTTTTCCCAGAGGATTCCAGAACTACTTGAGTTTAACCTTTCTAAGGCAGCTGGAGAAAGATTAGGAATGGGTGCTATGGACTATTTTGTCTGTGCCACCCTCCATCCCCACTCCCAATGACTAAACCAGGTTAAATTTTGGAGTTGGCCTTAGGAATACAAACATATAATTTTCCACCTGTGCTGATGTCTAAGATTCTTTGAAAAAGGCTAAATTTCATTCCAAAATTAAGGATGAAGTCTTTAAAACGGCACTGCCTATTGTAGATGAAATTTTGGTGCAAATGGTTAGTAGTCAACATAAATGACTGACAAAGTAACTCATTCCCTGTTTTGATACTAGGAATGTGGTACCGTCTTAGTAGGGGGAGGGAGAATTGCAACAAACATAGAAAATGAATGCTGAAAGAGGAAGCTGGGGACACTTCATAGGCTTTACAAGTTCTCTACACTTGGCTCTACTTATCTGCAATTGGGTGGAGACAAATAGGACCTGCGCCCTCAGTCGTTCTTATTTCTTCTCTCATTTAGCTGCCAACTCCTGGTACTCTGGCTTCATATTATGTATTTAGAGGTTTGGTTTTGTTTAGTTTAGTTTTATATGGCTGACTTTGCATAAAGAAGCCTTGTTCCCACAAGTTCTACTAAATGAGGTACACCTAGAGTCACAACCTGAACCTTAGCGGGGATGTTTAATTATTTACACTTAACATGAGGCATCCCTGCCTGGATCTCCCACCTGAAGGCATAATTAGAAGTTACTGGAGAGAGAAATAGGGTAAGCATGTGGAGACATTTCTGACACAAAAAAACCCCTCAGCTCTGCCAAAACGCCTCACAACTGTGAGCCATTAGTCAATATGCTTTGGCTTTCTGAAACTTTTTAGCAGCCAATAATTTTCTTCATGATTGAGTGGTTGTGAACTAAAAGATTGCTACTCATCTTAATGCCATTTTGTTGGGGTTTTTTAATAATTTTCAGTTGGAAAGGAAAAACTGACAAAGTAATAACACTTACAATGATTGGCTCCCAGATGGCAGCCCTACCAATTTACTTTGTTTTGAAGTTATGATACATAAGTGACTGACCTTTGCTGATACTTGCATGCTGTTTTCTTGCATGTTCATGATGGCTTCAGAGATCTTGACATCAATGGGATCCATTACTGATTCGATGTTGAATGGCCCCTCTAGCCTCTCTGCCACCAAGAGCATGGCATCTGTCAAAACAAAACAAGAAGTGCTTAAGCAATAGGAATTACCTCCCACTTGAGTGAGGATGTAAAGTTTACGAAGCACCTTTCTCACAGCAGCCCTCTGAGATAGGAAGGCAAGAAAAGTATTCTTCTTCTTATTTTACAGGTAGGAAAACCAGAGGGAGCTGCCTGAGGTCAAACAGCTAGTAAAAATATTATAAGGACTTGAACTCTGGTCCACTATCTCTAAAGCCCCATCTCCTTCCACTATACCAACCTGACATATCTTTTGGCTGTGGCTAATCAATATCAAGACTGACTAGAAAAAAAATAAGTAAACCTCCTTATTCATATTCTCACTAGGCAGCTAGGTGGAATAGTGAGTGGACTGCTGGGACTGATGTCAGGGAGATCTGAGTTAAAATCCAGCTTCAGTCACTTTTCTTGGGCAAGTCATTCAACCTTTGTCTGCCTCAGTCTCTTTATCTGTAAAGTGAAGATAAATACCTACCTCCCAGGGTTGTTGTCAGGATAAAATGAGCTAATATTTGCAGACCTTAAAGTGCTATAAAAATTTAATTATTATTCATATTTGTTTTTTTATTTTAGGTGATCCAAAACCCCCCCAACCTAACACCCGAAACAACCAACCCTGGAGTCATATAAGTGAATTTAAGTTAAAGCAACTTTTAAAAATAATTCAGTTAAACAGTTTTCTATCTATAGTTTTAAACACCACCTTTCTGGCTCCCTGCTTCCTAAATGGACCACATGAAACAGATGAGAAGCAGTATAGAACAGTGAGGACTGCCAATGTAGTTAGGAGAAGCTGGGTTTAAATCCTGTACCTGACACACATTGAGTCTCCATGGGCAAGTCATTTAACCTCTTAGTAACCCACTAAGACTATAGAGAGCTGCAGATCCCTATTGATGGAGAATGTTTCCACACCTGGAGGTCCCTACGATGTTGAACTAGATCACTAGATTCTAAATCAAGAGCTGGAAGGGGTCCTGAGCCAGTGTGGTGTTGTGGATAGAATACCGAACTTGATTTAGGAAAATTTGACTGTCCCAATACCCATAGCTAGGATGACAGCTTTACCTCTGGGTCTCTAGCATGGATAAATGTAAAGACCCATGGAATCATAACTCAGCATCAAGATGTACTTTGTTTGACATAGCTGCCTTGAGCTAGTAGAGACTGCTAGTAGTAAGTCACAAAAATCACTGTAACTAAGTCTATGTGCCGTTATTACCAATTGCTCCACCCTATACCTAGTAACTAAATTCTTTGCCCTATTCTCTGGGTGTCTCTATCTTTTATTTCAGTGCCTCTGGGGCTAGAGCCCCACCTTGTTCTCATGAGTCTTTTTAGCGACTTCTGTGCTGTCCCCAAATCACCATCCTTTCTTTGGGCCCCTTCCAACATGTGCTGGTATATTTACTTGCTCTCCAGAAAAAAAAACAGTGTATGCACTGACATAATTTTAAGTTTAATCATTATTATTAACATTTTCTCCATCACTTTCTCGTTTAGAAATCAACAAAACAATAAATCAAGCTCCAATTTTTAGCATTTGCTGATTTCTGAAGTGTAAACACTGAAGCTGAAAGTTTAACCATCAGCTTAGCCAAGAGGATTGGAGCTGGCTTCAGTGAGCTCTTAGATTTGCTGAAAGACCTCCCTGATGTTGACTATCTGCCTGAACTTTTGCCAGGATCTGCTCACCATGTCACCTGAACTCTTGTGTTCTGTACCTTTGCTGGGGGACCTACTTCATGCCTACCTCTGGACTTCTCTAAGGGCAAATGCCTAACTCTCCATCTGTTGCACCTAATGCACTACTCTGCTTGCATGTCCATACCTCTCCCTCCATGATGAAACCTTCTAAGCACCAGGTCTGCTGAGGCATGTCTGAATAGCTTCCAGACCTTGGTCTAATCCATCTGGTGACATACCATACTAGTGATAGGGAAGACACGAGGAGGTACTTAACTGGGAGTCAGAGGACTTGGCTGGCTGTATAACTATGGATAAACCTCTGGGCCTGAGACTCTTCATTTGTCTCTTTATTTGTAAAACTGAAGAGTTGGACTGGATCTCCAAGGTTCCTTATCTATCTACTATTCAATACCTCTTGAAAATTAACGAAAAAAAGCACTATACTAAGAGTTGAGGATATAAAAACTAAACCCAGAAAGCTCCTGCTCTCTAACAGTTTATATTTTAATAGGGATTAAAACATATTGGTGGCCAAGGATTGGTATATTATTTTGAGTAATCACAGGGATGCTAAGTGGAGCCAAAGGGGAGTTGATTGACATGTCTTTTCCAATAGCAATGGTAGCATTAATTTGATTAAAAGCCGGGAAGAGAGTGTGGAGAATGAGAAATAGTGAGAAGTAGACTTGCAAGCAGTTATGAGAAAATTCTCACAAATGGTTGCGGGGTTAGGGAATGGTTGTAGCAATCAATACATCTATCCCTGAAAACAAGTCCAAGTCCCAACCCCTTCCCTAGTCTCTCAGCATGTGGACACCAAAGATCTAGGCCTATTAAAATGCTAATGCTTTCTAGCACACAGCGTAAAGCACTGTTACAAGATGTAGTTCATAGGAGTGTGAAGAGATCTAATTTGGTTTCCATCACATGTGGTGTTTTGACATGTACAAGCAAGGCACATTATTAAACAACCTTCCACAGCAGTTGAGAGGCACAGAATAGTTTGACATGAAGCAATCTGAGATAAGTGGCTTCTTTGAAAAGGCACAGCACAGGGTAGTCTGTGAGGAAGACAGCTGTAGACTACCTCCAACAGCCCTCAAAGAAAACGTCCATTTAAAAAAATCATATCCATTTCTCAAGCCTCATTTCAAATGTCACTTCCTCCTTGAAGGTCTTTACTAATTTCTCTAGACAAAAATGCTTTGTTTCTTTTAACCTGGCCCAAACATAATATATTTATCATTTAGTATTCTGTAGTTAGAGGCAGCTAGGTAGCTAAGTGCATAGAGTGCAGGGCCTAGAATCAGGAAGACTTGAGTTTAAATCTGGCCTTAGACATTTATTAACAGTATGATGCAGGGCAAGTCACTTAACCTCTGTTTGCCTTGGAGATGGCTAGGTGGCTCAGTGGACAGAATGTTGGGCCTGAAGTCAGGAAGACCTGAGTTAAAAAAAAATCCAACCTAAGATACTTATTAGCTATGTGACCCTGGGCAAGTCACTTAACCTCAATTTGCCTTCGCTGGAAAAGAAAATGGCAAACCATTCCAGTATCTTTGACAAGAAAATCCCATGGACAGTATGGTCCATGGGCTCATGAAGAGTTGGATACTACTGAACAATAAATTCTATATTTATGCAACTTCTCTATGCCCTCTGCCAGATTTTAAGCTCAGTGGCATCATGAGTCATGTCTTAATTTGCATCAATCAATCAATATTTATTGAGTGCTTACACTGTGCTAAGCACTGGAGATACAAAAAGAGGCAAAAAATAGTGCCTGCCCTCAAGGATGCCATTCTAAGACTGGCACTGTGCTTCAGGAACACAGAAGGCAGTTAACAAATGGCTGCTGAATGAATGAATGAATTACAAGCGACGCAGGGCTTTGAAAACCATGTTAGCTTTTATAAATCCTGGCCAAAGTCTACAGCATATTCATTGTTGAAGACAAATTGTGCCTTTACATCTTTAGTGAGACTGTGATTGTATTTGCTGCTTTCAGGTTATGCTATTCTCATGAGTATTAGCGGTACCATGGACAAATTTTTATTCTATACATTTACAGTATTGTATCTTATAAAGAAAGAATATAAATAAATCTTAGGTGAAGATTGTGCATCAAAAGATGAAGATTTCTGCCTTCTACAAAAAGATCTTATAATTAAAATAGCTATTTTCCCTGAACTTAATGATCTTATTTCCCTGCACCATTGACAGGGGATAAACAGTGGATTTTGCCATAGCGTTTAGATCTTAAAGACATTTTCTTTTCTAAGTATTTCAAATGCTGCTAAACATTGTCTGAAAGCTGTATTGTTTCTACTGGGATTTACACGATCTATTTTGTGTAATTATCACAAAAATCCCCTCTTACCGTAGGCCTTTCTAGCAGGCTTTTTGATTAAGAGGAAATAATGACAAGTAAACAGAAGGCTCTAGACTAGAATCTCCTGCTAAGAGAATCATTCCCAGAAACTTACAGAGAAACAAATTTGAATTACAAAGTGGTCACAATAAATAAAACATTTAAGAGAATAAATAGGAAATAACTAATGACATCCAAGGCACATCTGATACACACACACACACACACACACACACACATATATATATACACACACATACATACATACACATATATATACACACATACATACATATATATACATATACGTATATATATGCATATAGTAGGTGCTTAATGAGTGTTTGTTTAGTGAGTGAATGCGAGCACATGCACTTATGGAACATCAGTGTAGATATAGTACGTACTTAGCAACTAAAAGTATATAATAATTTTATATACATGGCAATTGAAGACAGGTTATTTTATAGTAGGCATTTTAAATGCCTTTTTACCTGGATCACATGAATTCAGTCAAGGCCATAATGTTACATTCTTGGCTTCACAACATAAATTTCAGAAAGAGCCCTCTTGTTCTTTGTTGAATCAATAGCAAAACATTCTCTGATCAAGGAAGGAGCTTTCTTTTTCATTATCAGTAGACACTTATTGAGTGACCATTATGTGGAACATACCATGTTTTTAAGTCCTCCCCCTTTGGTATGGGGGATACCTGGGTAATTTGCATACCTTTAACAAGAGCCCCAGGTGAACTAGGTGGTTTCTCTTCTAGTACCGCAGTTTGTCTCTCCTAACTTTGCTTGTTCCGTTCACCCCCCACACCCCCGACCCCTTCCATGGGGATTCTCTCTCCATTCTTCAAATTCCCCAATCTGATCGAGACCTCTTCCCAGACACCTCATTTACTCTAAGGTAGAAATGACTGATG